AATTATTCTTCGTCAGGCTTCTAGGATCAAGGTTACCGCTCTAGGGATAAGGTTAATCGGATTATACCTTCCTTGAGAGGCGAGGTGAAATGTTTGAGGCCATGGTTGGCTAAAGTCAGTCTGATTGTGGGAGTGTAACTGGCAAGTCCTTTGGATCCCCGTTTGCGGCAGCAGCGAAGTGTAGCAGACAGCTATGCGAGAACCTGATGTGATCTTAGTGACGAAGTTAAGTCTGCAGTATGTGAGTATTGAATGAAAGACTAACCGGGTGTGGAGCGTTGTAGTAATCATTCCGTATTAGGGACTTAGGCGGAAGTTACGAGTGTGGGTGGTGATAGCGGAGGTCAAGTGGTCTATGGGTATTGGAAGTGTATTGACCTAATAGAGTATGTTAATTAATATAGTATTATTTGTCAGAGTCTATTCTGTGTTATTAAATGACACGACATATTTGGTGGCAGCGCAAACAGGTTTTGGAACACTGTGCAAGATGAAGGAAGTGTGGTTTTGGTTTAGTTGGTGAGGGAATGTTCGGGAAATGGTAGACGTCGGGTTGTGGTGAGAATGGTGGTTACTAGACGGAGGAAAGAAGGGTCAGGTGAGACTAGGTCAGAGGTGTTAGTTAATTAAAGGGACTAGGCCATTGTGGGGCACATGTGGGGTTTATTTCTTTCTTTCCAGATTCCCGCAATGAGAGACGGCTAAGAGGCAAGTCTGGACCACTGAAGCATCGGGATCCAAAACAAGTGCAGTGTTCGTAGGGCGGATTATACAGTGTTCGTAGTGCGGATTATACAGTGTTCGTAGTGCGGATTATACAGCGTTGCGAGGTAAACTAGCGCGGGTGAATGTGGGCCAGCGTGGGCCATGTGCGGCCATGTGCGGGCCAAGCGATGGGTGGGCCAAGCGAGCCGCACCTTGGAGCTTGTTTTATATCGTCGGTATGGTGGTAATAGTGAGAAGCCGTTGCTAAGGACAAATCAAGCGTGAAAACTACGTAATTTGAAGTTAATTAAATTTCATGTAAAGTGTAAATCAAATATTTTAAAGATAATAAAATATTGAGCGATTTTTGGTGTTGTCAGACGAAGATACAAAAAATAAGCGCAGTGAATTGTGGACGCCTGGGCAAAGCGAGCGACGCATAATTTGACGTCAGGGGTTCGACGTCTAGCGTACCCTGGAGAGGTCCATGGAGATTTTTTGTGGGTACAGGTAGCATTATGGAGAATGTTACCGTGGGACACGGGGAACGTATCCCGTTGGTGGGGGTGTGACGTTGGGACGTGGCGACGCAGTGTGTATTGGCGTTTGGACGCCGGGAGTAGTGCATGGTCGTGTATTGGCGTTTGTATGCCGAGTGTAGTGCATGGTTGTGTATTGGCATTAGTACGCCGGGGTGTGTAGTGTAATGCACGTGTAGTGGCTTATTAAACGCCAGCGTAATGCATAGTATTTACTGTAGTGAAATGTGCATGCTTTGACTGTTTATATTATGGATGTAGTATAGTGCATGACATTGTTGGCATTGTAGCGCCAAGGTGTAGCATGACAAAACCCGACGGCTTTTAAATACCTTCCATATGTTCATTCATTGTGTTCCAGTACAAACCTAGTGGTACGCCTCAAGGGTCTGTTGTGTGTAGGAGTACACGGTGGTAGTAACGGTTGCTGAGGCAAGGTGTTATGTGTTGTGTCATCGCTGTGTTCGGAATGAACCGGGGTTCAGCGTCACGACACTATTACCTAAGTACATATAGGTAAGTAAAATGACAGGGAAAGTGGCCTTTACTACATACAAAATACGATCTTTAAAACCACTAAGACTGGGGTCCAGGAGCTAGAGTCTCTATACATGCACTAATAGATGAACTCCACCCAGGCAACGGACACTTCCGAGCGCCAAGCACCATGCGCGCCCGCGCCCCAGGGTCTCGCGCCTGTACGCCGAGGGTCCGCTCATCTGTTACTGACCAGTCATCCGTCTGAGCCGATGGCTGGGTACCTCGTGGAAGCTCCGCACACTGTGGTAGGCTCTATGCACCAGGGTAGGCTCTATACACCAGGGTAGGCTCTATACACCAGGGTAGGCTCTATACACCAGGGTAGGCTCTATACACCAGGGTAGGCTCTATACACCAGGGTAGGCTCTATACACCAGGGTAGGCTCTATGCACCAGGGTAGGCTGTACACATCATGAGATGCGCTACACACTGGTAAAGCTCTACAGACTGGTGAAGCTCTACACACTGGTAAAGCTCTACAGACTGGGGAGGCTCTACACACTGGGGAGGCACTACACACTGGGGAGGCTCTACACACTGGGGAGGCACTACACACTGGGGAGGCTCTACACACTGGGGAGGCTCTACACACTGGGGAGGCTCTACACACTGGGGAGGCACTACACACTGGGGAGGCTCTACACACTGAGGAGGCTCTACACACTGGGGAGGCTCTACACACTGGGGAGGCACTACACACTGGGGAGGCTCTACACACTGGGGAGGCTCTACACACTGAGGAGGCTCTACACACTGGGGAGGCTCTACACACTGGGGAGGCTCTACACACTGGGGAGGCTCTACACACTGGGGAGGCTCTACACACTGAGGAGGCTCTACACACTGGGGAGGCTCTACACACTGGGGAGGCTCTACACACTGGGGAGGCTCTACACACTGGGGAGGCTCTACACACTGGGGAGGCTCTACACACTGGGGAGGCTCTACACACTGGGGAGGCTCTACACACTGGGGAGGCTCTACACACTGGGGAGGCTTTACACACTGGGGAGGCTCTACACACTGGGGAGGCTCTACACACTGGGGAGGCTCTACACACTGGGAAGGCTCTACACACTGGGGAGGCTCTACACACTGGGAAGGCTCTACACACTTGGAAGGCTCTACACACTGGGGGAGGCTCTACACACTGAGGAGGCTCTACACACTGGGGAGGCTCTACACACTGGGGAGGCTCTACACACTGGGGAAGCTCTACACACTGGGGAGGCTCAACACACTGGGGAGGCTCTACACACTGGGGAGGCTCTACACACTGGGGAGGCTCTACACACTGGGGAGGCTCTACACACTGGGGAGGCTCTACACACTGGGGAGGCTCTACACACTGGGAAGGCTCTACACACTGGGGAGGCTCTACACACTGGAAAGGCTCTACACACTGGGGAGGCTCTACACACTGGGGAGGCTCTACACCCTGGGGGAGGCTCTACACACTGGGGAAGCTCTACACACTGGGGAGGCTCTACACACTGGGGAAGCTCTACACACTGGGGAGGCTCTACACACTGGGGAGGCTCTACACACTGGGGAGGCTCTACACACTGGGGAGGCTCTACACACTGGGGAGGCTCTACACACTGGGAAGGCTCTACACACTGGAAAGGCTCTACACACTGGGGAGGCTCTACACACTGGGGAGGCTCTACACACTGGGGGAGGCTCTACACACTGGGGAAGCTCTACACACTGGGGAGGCTCTACACACTGGGGAAGCTCTACACACTGGGGAGGCTCTACACACTGGGGAGGCTCTACACACTGGGGAGGCTCTACACACGGGGGAGGCTCTACACACTGGGGAGGCTCTACACACTGGGGAGGCTCTACACACTGGGGAAGCTCTACACACTGGGGAGGCTCTACACACTGGGGAGGCTCTACACACTGGGGAGGCTCTACACACTGGGGGATGATCTAATCGCTGTGGGGATGATTCACTGTATTTGAAAAGTATCTACCTTCTAGGATGAGCTACTTATTAGGTTAGGATCTACACTCTCGTGGATGATCTACTCACCTGAAGGGGATCAGCTTATTGGGAGAGTATCTACTCAATGGGAGAGCATCCACAAACTGGGAGATCTACTCAAAGGGGGGAGGGGTGATCTACTGTCCTGTTGATGATCTATTCCGTACAGCAGGATCTATTCCCTGTGGCAGGATCTATTTCTTACTGTAGGATCTATTCCCTGTGGCAGGATCTATTCCTTACTGCAGGATCTATTCCTTAACTCAGGATCTATTCCTAACGGCCGGATCTATTCCCAATGTCAGGATCTATTCCCTACGGCAGGATCTATTCCCTACCGCAGGATCTATTCCTAACGGCCGGATTTATTTCCTACAGCAGAATCTATTCCCTAAGAGGGATCTTTCCAATGTGAGATTAACTACTTACTGGAAGAGTATTTACGTAGCGGGAGATGATCTACTGACTGATTGTGTTTACTGTGGGAGGGTTTGTTCTTGGTGAAATTATTCATTGGCGAGGAGTAATTACTGTAGAACTACTGTGGGAGGGTCTGTTCTGGGTGAGATTATTCACCAGCGAGATGTAATCACTGTGAGATTATCTACTTACTGTGGGGATGATAACTTAATGGAAGAGCTCACATGGAGATGATCTACCTCTACTTTGGATGAAGGTCTACTTCTACACTCAAGGATTATCTACCTCTACTTTGGATGAAGGTCTACTTCTACACTCAAGGATTATCTACCTCTTCACTGTAGGATGGTCTACCTCTACACTGGAGGATGGTCTACCTCTACCTTGGATTATGGTCTACCTCTACCTTGGATTATGGTCTACCTCTTCATTTGAGGATGGTCTACCTCTGCACTGGAGGATGGTCTACCTCTACACTGTAGGATGGTCTACCTCTACACTGGAGGATGGTCTACCTCTACCTTGGATTATGGACTACCTCTACACTGGAGGATAGTCTACCTCTACACTGGAGGATAGTCTACCTCTACACTGGAAGATGGTCTACCTCTACACTGGAGGATGGTCTACCTCTGCACTGGAGGATAGTCTGCCTCTATACTGCTAGAAGGTCTACCTTTGAGAGAGGAATTACTCTCCTGTTGGAGTATTCTACAAGAAGAGAAATATCTGGGGTGAAAAATGCTCAAGAGAATGGCGAAAACAACACAATGAGAATAATTATATAGACATAGGAGTCTCTACAAGTCCTGGAGCAAATGTTTTACAGGCTTGTGAAGCCTCAACGAGGGAAGATTGACTCTACTCTCAATGAAAGGTTTACATCAGGGGAAAGTTTACATCAGGGGAAGGTTTATACATCAGAGGAAGGCTTGCATCAGAGGGAAGGTTTATACATCAGAGGAAGGCTTATATCAGGAAAAGGTTTATACATCAGGGGAAGGTTTATATATCAGGGGAAGGTTTATACATCAAGGAAAGGCTTTTATCAGGGGAAGGTTTATATATCATTGGAAGGTTTACACATCAGAGGAAGGCTTATATCAGGGGAAGGTTTATACATCATGGCAAGGCTTATATCAGGGGAAGGTTTAAACATAAGAGAAAGGCTTATATAAGGGGAAGGTTTATACATCAGGGGAAGGTTTATACATCAGAGGAAGGCAAGGCTTACATCAGGGGAAGGTTTATACATAAGAGGAAGGCTTATATCAGGGGAAGGTTTATACATCATGGCAAGGCTTATATCAGGGGAAGGTTTAAACATAAGAGAAAGGCTTATATAAGGGGAAGGTTTATACATCAGGGGAAGGTTTATATATCAGGGGAAGGCTTATATCAGGGGAAGGTTTATACATCAAGGAAAGGCTTATATCAGGGGAAGGTTTATATCAGGGGAAGGTTTATACATCAGGGGAAGGTTTATATCAGGGGAAGGTTTATATATCAGGGGAAGGTTTATACATCAGGGGAAGGTTTATATCAGGGGAAGGTTTATATATCAGGGGAAGGCTTATATCAGGGGAAGGTTTATACATCAGGGGAAGGTTTATATCAGGGGAAGGTTTATATCAGGGGAAGGTTTATATATCAGGGGAAGGTTTATACATCAAGGAAAGGCTTTTATCAGGGGAAGGTTTACACATCAGAGGAAGGCTTATATCAGGGGAAGGTTTATACATCAGAGGAAGGCTTATATCAGGGAAAGGTTTAAACATAAGAGAAAGGCTTATATAAGGGGAAGGTTTATACATCAGGGGAAGGCTTATATCAGGGGAAGGTTTATACATAAGAGGAAGGCTTATATTAGGGGAAGGTTTATACATCATGGCAAGGCTTATATCAGGGGAAGGTTTAAACATAAGAGAAAGGCTTATATAAGGGGAAGGTTTATACATCAGGGGAAGGCTTACATAAGAGGAAACCTTACATCAGAAGGTTCACATCAGGGGAAGGATTACACCCAAGGAAGGCTTACATAGTGGGAAGGTTTAAGTCAAGTGAAGGTTCACATCAGGGGAAGGTTTACACGAAGTGAAGGCTTACATCTGGGGAAAGCTTGCATTAGGGGAAGGATTACATGAGGGGAAGGTTTACATACATGGAAGGGTTATATCAGGAAGGAAGGTTTAAATCAGGGGAAGGTTCACATCAGGAGAAAGTTTACATCAAGGAATACCTTTCATCAATGGAAGACTTACATTATTGAAAGGTTTACATCAGAGGTAGGTTTATACCAAGGGGATGGTTTGCATCAGGGAAAGGATTGCATCAGGGGAAGGCTAACACCAGGGGAAGACTAACATCAGGAGATGGTTCACATCAGGAGAAGACTAACATCAGGAGATGGTTCGCATCAGGGGAAGACTAATATCATGGGAAGGTTCACATCAGAGAAAAACTTTCACCAGTGTAAGGTTTACATCATGAGAGGGTTTATATCAGGGGGAAGGCTAACATCTGTGGAAGGTTCACATCAGGGGGAAGGCTAATTATCTGTGGAAAGTTCATCTCATGGGAAAGGTAACATCGGAAATGTTGGGGGGGGGGGATGCGGGTACAATAGTTAAGGAGAGCCTTACAAGCATGGGAAAGACTCTTCACTCTCTATGGGAGGCTCAACAGTCGGAGGAAGGCTGTTCAGGAGTGGAAGGCTCTGCAGACTGGGGAAGGCTCTTCACACTACATGATGAAGAGCCTCGGTCGTACCCCTGACGGAGCCTTGTGAGTGCTGAATCGACGCAGGGAAACAACAGCGGGAGTTTGACAGTTAACGTCACCACAGGCACCACCACCACAACCTGGGGGAGACACTTAGTGTTAGCACAGGCACTACCACCACAACCTGGGGGAGACACTTAGTGTTAGCACAGGCACTACCACCACAACCTGGGGGAGACACTTAGTGTTAGCACAGGCACTACCACCACAACCTGGGGGAGACACTTAGTGTTAGCTCAGGCACTACCACCACAACCTGGGGGAGACACTTAGTGTTAGCACAGGCACTACCACCACAACCTGGGGGAGACACTTAGTGTTAGCACAGGCACCACCACCACAACCTGGGGGAGGCACTTAGTGTTAGCACAGTGAATGAACAGGCACCACCACCACAACCTGAGGGAGGCACTTAGTGTTAGCACAGGCACTACCACCACAACCTGGGGGAGACACTTAGTGTTAGCACAGGCACCACCACCACAACCTGGGGGAGACACTTAGTGTTAGCACAGGCACCACAACCTGGGGGAGGCACTTAGTGTTAGCACAGGCACTACCACCACAACCTGGGGGAGACACTTAGTGTTAGTACAGGCACCACAACCTGGGGGAGGCACTTAGTGTTAGCACAGGCACTACCACCACAACCTGGGGGAGACACTGAGTGTTAGCACAGGCACCACAACCTGGGGGAGGCACTTAGTGTTAGCACAGGCACTACCACCACAACCTGGGGGAGACACTTAGTGTTAGCACAGGCACCACAACCTGGGGGAGACACTTAGTGTTAGCACAGGCACTACCACCACAACCTTGGGGAGACACTTAGTGTTAGCACAGGCACCACCACCACAACCTGGGGGAGACACTTAGTGTTAGCACAGGCACCACCACCACAACCTGGGGGAGGCACTTAGTGTTAGCACAGGCACCACAACCTGGGGGAGACACTTAGTGTTAGCACAGGCACCACCACCACAACCTGGGGGAGACACTTAGTGTTAGCACAGGCACCACCACCACAACCTGGGGGAGGCACTTAGTGTTAGCACAGGCACTACCACCACAACCTGGGGGAGGCACTTAGTGTTAGCACAGGCACCACCACCACAACCTGGGGGAGGCACTTAGTGTTAGCACAGTGAATGAACAGGCACCACCACCACAACCTGGGGGAGACACTTAGTGTTAGCACAGTGAATGAACAGGCACCACCACCACAACCTGGGGGAGACACTTAGTGTTAGCACAGTGAATGAACAGGCACCACCACCACAACCTGGGGGAGACACTTAGTGTTAGCACAGTGAATGAACAGGCACCACCACCACAAACTCTAGAGTGTGGGAAACTAGTCAGTGTTAACACAGACACCACCGCCACCACTACAAACTGTTGGGTGTGGTAGACAAGTCAGTCTTAGCACAGAGTACACCATCTGTGGAGAAATATTTAGTTTATATTATTTTATATAGTAATTTATATTTTACGTTAATTTATATTTTTCGATAGCATAATGTTTGAAGTTTAAAGTACACCGTATGATTTACAATCCCACAAATCGATTTCCTTACACATTCTGGGGGGGGGGGAGGTTATGGTTTATTTATGTAGTCATCAATATAAATTATTGGTTAGTAAACATTCACTACAATATTTGACTACATACGTTAGTAACTAAATGGGGAGCCCTTATCTGTATATGGTGGGCCTGGTTCACCAACTATGAACACGGATGATCGCACCAAATAATCCTCGTGGTTGAGGCTGGCATCAATACCTGTACTGCTGTACTAGATAACTAGTGTTAATTCTTCTTCTTCTTCTTCATTTACAAAGGCCAAAGGGCACTCAAAATAATGGCGGTAATCCTTAAATGACAGCTATATCAGAGGATATATTGGCAGTTTAAATAAAGAGATGAGACATATCCCAACTGTTGTTTGTTCTCGCTATGCAGTCTAACCGGCTCACTCTATAACTACTTAAACCATTTCTGATCAGGAATGAATTAGCTAATAAACGAGTTTCGGAAAGAACACTTCCCTTATTGTAGACGATGAATGTTGATAATGGAAGCACTTTACATCCAATAACACTGGTCCAAGGGAAAAATTATTGGAGCTAATTTTGCCCCAGCGAGACAGGTTAAATTAAATGGTGACTCCCTGTTGTCCTCCTCCCACTGACTCATCCAGCATCTTGTCCAGATGCCAAAAAGTGGATAGAGGACCCACATTTACTTTATTTTAGTACTAATAATTAAGTAGTTTGAAGGGGAAATGTTTTTATGATGTTTACAGTCCAGAGACTGCTGTATTAAGAATAATTCCCATTATTAGGTGGTGAAATTAATAGCGACATGTGGGAATGATATCTCGTTTTCTATGGGAAGAAATTTCCACTGAGCCACGTCTTATATGAGTGAATTTGTTTATTACAAACAGCAGCAATATTATCTGACTATAATATTGCTGCTCTTAATATCTGCCCATAAAACTGACAAGTCAGATTTAGCACAGACACCACCGCCATAAACTGTAGAGTGGTCAACAAAAAGTCAGTTTCAGCAGAGACACCACAACCAAAAAAGTGAAGAGTGTGGAACACAAGTAAGTGTTAGCACAGACCACTACCACACACTGTATGGTGTGGAACACAAGTTAGCTGTAGCACAGACACCACCCTGAAAACTGTAGAATGAGGGAGAAAAGTCAATGTTAACACAGGCACACTCACTGCAAACTGTCGAGTGATGGAGACAAATCAGTGATATCAAAGAAACTACAACGACAAACTATAGAGTGTGGGACAAAAGTCTGTTAGAACAGACACCACCGTCTCAAACTGTTGAATGTGTCAGGGAAGTCAGTGTTAGCACAGATGTCACCACCACAAACTGTAGAGTGTCGGACACAAGTCATTGTTAGAACAGACACTACCGTCTCAATCTGGGGAGACAATTCAGTGTTAGTACAGACACCTCCACTACAAACTGTAGTGTGGGATGCAAGTCAGTGTTAGGCCAGACACCACCACCTGTAGAGTGTGGGATATAAGTCAGTGTTAGCACAGACACCTACACCACAACTTGTAGCGTAGGAGACAAGTCAGTATTAATAAAGGCACCACCATCAACTCTAGAGTGTGGGAGGTATGTCAGTTTTAGCAGCGGCAATACCATCGCAAACTGTACATTGCAGGAGACAAATAAGTGTTAGTACAGTCACCACCACCACGATCTGTAGAGTGTGGGACTCAAGTCAGTGTTAACACAGGTACTACCACTACGAATTGTAGTGTGGAACTCAGGTCAGTGTTAACACGGCCACCACCACCTTAAACTGTAGAGTATGAGACTCAAGTCAGTGTTAACACGGCCACCACCACCTTAAACTGTAGAGTATGTGACTCAAGTCAGTGTTAACACGGCCACCACCACGTTAAACTGTAGAGTATGAGACTCAAGTCAGTGTTAACACAGATACCACCACCTTAAACTGTAGAGTATGAGACTGAAGTCAGTGTTAACACAGCCACCACAAATTGTAGAGTGTGAGACTCAAGTCAGTGTTAACATAGGCATTACCACTACAAACTAAAGAGTGTGGGACACAAGTCAGTGTTAACACAGACACCACTACCACAAAGTGAAGAGTATGGGATACAAGTCAGTGTTAGTAAATAGATTGGGTAGCAATGGGTTAAATTTTTGCCTCATCTTATGCTTAAGTTTCGACTTAAACTTTAGCAGCTGTATTATCCATATCGTTCCAAGTCTTTAGCAGTTATGTTTTCCAAATTTTCCGTAGGCTTTACAGCTATGTTAGTGAAATGTTTCGTAGTCTTTAGAAACTATTATATAACAATGTCCCTTGATTTTTAACCTCTATATTATCCATATGTTCCCATGTCTTTAGCAGCTATTATAAAAATGTTTCCTAATCTTTAGCCAATATGTTATCCAAATGATTCCCCAGTCTTTAGCAGCTATGTTATCCAAATGTTTTGTTGTTTTAAGCACTCTGTTATCAAGGTTCCATTGTTTTATTCCAGTAATAAGCATTATTGGCGTTTCCGCAAGTGTGTTGCACGAGCAGTTTTCTCTAACGTCTGACACAATTTTGTGAATTGGATGTTAATCGGAATTTCCTAACCTGTGTGTGTAGTTGGATGCTATTTGTGAACAATGTAACAACTCAAATTCCCTAAAATGGTAAGAATGACCAATGAAGGATAGTTTGCAGACATTGTAAGATGATGGATGCGTGACTCACCTGGCCAATGGTAGGGAAGAAGCATATGAAGTGTGGGGTTACCAGGCCGTCCCACACCATGAAGATGATGTGGAAGGTCGCGAGCAGTAGTGTTAGCCAGCCCACTCGGCTTTGGAGGAAGGAGAATTCCCTCCAGGTCATGGATGCTGCCACAGACGGTAGGGAGGCCAGTCCAAGCACACCGGCCAGCGTGAAGGCCACAATACCTGTGAGACGCCACACGCACTCAGATTTTTGTTTGTTTCAGGAAAATTCCTATGCAGGCCTTGTGCCTCTGGCTGGCCTGCTGAATGTTTCTCCTGTCAATATTAGCTAGATGGTGTATTAGCTAGAAGTACGTATGGTTATATTTGTTCATAACAGTATGGTTGTCTTACAACTTCTTTGTTATTAATCTCAATAGAAATCTTATTTTGTTTGTAAAATTGCACTGTGTTAATGTCCAAGAGGTCTGAATCGGTTGTGTGCACTCACCTAATTGTACTCACCTAATTGTGATTGCGGGGGTTGTGCTCTGGCCCTTTGGTCCCGCCTCTCACCCGTCAATCAAAAGGTGCACAGGTTCCTGAGCCTATTCGGCTCTATCATATCTACACTTGAAACTGAAGACTGTAGATATGTGTGTGTACTCACCTAGTTGTACTCACCTAGTTGTGTCTGCAGGATCGAGCATTGACTCTTGGATCCCGCCTTTCGAGCATCGGTTGTTTACAGCAATGACTCCTGTGCCATTTCCCTATCATACCTGGTTTTAAAATTATGAATAGTATTTGCTTCCAAAACCTGTTCCTGAAGTGCATTCCATTTTCCCACTAATCTCACGCTAAAAGAAAACTTCCTAATATCTCTGTGACTCATCTGAGTTTCCAGCTTCCATCCATGTCCCCTCGTTCTGTTACTATTCCGTGTAAACATTTCGTCTATGTCCACTCTGTCAATCCCTTTGAGTATTTTATACGTTCCTATCATGTCCCCCCTCTCCCTTCTTCTTTCTAGTGTCGTAAGGCACAGTTCCCTCAGGCGCTCCTCATACCCCATCCCTCGTAGCTCTGGGACGAGTCTCGTTGCAAACCTCTGAACCTTTTCCAGTTTCATTATATGCTTCTTCAGATCGGGACTTCATGATGAGGCGGCATACTCTAAGACTGGGCTCTCATAGGCAGTGAAAAGTGCTCTAATTGCCTCCTTACTTAGGTTTCTGAATGATGTTCTAACTTTTGCCAGTGTAGAGTACGCTGCTGTCGTTATCCTATTTATATGTGCCTCAGGAGATAGATTAGGTGTTACGTCCACACCCCAGGTCTCTTTCGCGCGTCGTTACAGGTAGGCTGTGTGGATATGTGTGTGTGTGTGTGTGTGTGTGTGTGTGTGTGTGTGTGTGTGTGTGTGTGTGTGTGTGTACTCACCTAATTGTACTCACCTAATTGTGCTTGCGGGGGTTGAGCTCTGGCTCTTTGGTCCCGCCTCTCAACCGTCAATCAACTGGTGTACAGATTCCTGAGCCTACTGGGCTCTATCATATCTACATTTGAAACTGCGTATGGAGTCAGCCTGCACCACATCACTTCCTAGTGCATTCCATTTACTAACTACTCTGACACTGAAAAAGGTCTTTCTAATGTCTCTGTGGCTCATTTGGGTACTCAGCTTCCACCTGTGTCCCCTTGTTCGCGTCCCACCAGTGTTGAATAGTTCATCCTAGTTTACCCGGTCGATTCCCCTGAGGATTTTGTAGGTTGTGATCATGTCCCCCCTTACTCTTCTGTCTTCCAGTGTCGTAAGGTGCATTTCCCGCAGCCTTTCCTCATAACTCATGCCTCTTAGTTCTGGGACTAGTCTAGTAGCAAACCTTTGGACTTTTTCCAGCTTCGTCTTGTGCTTGACAAGGTACGGGCTCCATGCTGGGGCCGCATACTCCAGGATTGGTCTTACATATGATGTGTACAAGATTCTGAATGATTCCTTACACAGGTTCCTGAACGTCGTTCTGATGTTAGCCAGCCTCGCATATGCCGCAGACGTTATACTCTTTATGTGGGCTTCTGGAGACAGGTTTGGTGTGATATCAACTCCTAGATCTTTCTCTCTGTTTCATTAAGTACTTCATCTCCTATTCTGAATCCTGTGTCTGGCCTCCTGTTTCCACTGCCTAGTTTCATTAGTTTGCATTTACTCGGATTGAACTTCAACAGCCATTTGTTGGACCATTCACTCAGTCTATCTAGGTCATCTTGTAACCTCCTACTATCATCCTCTGTTTCAATGCTCTCAATCCTTTCAATGTGTGTGTGTGTGTGTGTGTGTGTGTGTGTGTGTGTGTGTGTGTGTGTGTGTGTGTGTGTGTGTGTGTGTGTGTGTGTGTGTGTGTGTGTGTGTGTGTGTGTGTGTGTGTGTGTGTGTGTGTGTGTGTGTGTGTGTGTGTGTGTGTGTGTGTGTGTGTGTGTGTGTGTGTGTGTGTGTGTGTGTGTGTGTGTGTGTGTGTGTGTGTGTGTACTCACCTAGTTTTGATTAAAGGGGTTGAGCTCTGACTCTTTGGTCCCGCCTTTCAACCGTCAATCAACAGGTGTACAGGTTCCTGAGCCTATTGGGCTCTATCATATCTACACTTGAAACTATGTATGGAGTCAGTCTCCACTACATCACTTCCTAATGCATTCCATTTGTCAACCACTCTGACACCAAAAAAGTCCTTTCTAATATCTCTGTGGCTCATTTGGGCACTCAGTTTCCACCTGTGTCCCCTTGTGCGTGTGCTCCTAGTGTTAAATAGCCTGTCTTTATCAACCGTATCAATTCCCTTCAGAATCTTGAATGTGGTGATCATATCCCCCCTAACTCTTCTGTCTTCCAGCGAAGTGAGGTTTAATTCCCGTAGTCTCTCCTCGTAGCTCATACCTCTCAGCTCGGGTTCTAGTCTGGTGGCAAACCTTTGAACCTTTTCCAGTTTAGTCTTATCCTTGGCTAGATATGGACTCCATGCTGGGGCTGCATACTCCAGGATTGGCCTGACATATGTGGTATACAAAGTTCTAAATGATTCTTTACACAAGTTTCTGAATGCCGTTCTTATGTTGGCCGGCCTGGCATATGCCGCTGATGTTATCCTCTTGATATGTGCTGCAGGAGACAGGTCTGGTGTGATATCAACCCCCAAGTCTTTTTCTTTCTCTGACTCCTGAAGAATTTCCTCTCCCAGATGATACCTTGTATCTGGCCTCCTGTTCCCTACACCTATCTTCATTGCATTACATTTGGTTGGGTTAAACTCTAACAACCATTTGTTCGACCATTCCTTCAGCTTATCTAGGTCTCCTTGACGCCTCAAACAGTCCTCTTCTGTTTTAATCCTTCTCATAATTTTGGCATCGTCCGCAAACATTGAGAGAAATGAATCGATACCCTCCGGGAGATCATTTACATATATCAGATACAAGATAGGACCGCAACAGAGCCCTGTGGGACTCCACTGATGACTTCACGCCAATCGGAGGTCTCACCCCTCACCGTAACTCTCTGCTTCCTATTGCTAAGGTACTCCCTTATCCACTGGAGCACCTTACCAGCTACACCTACCTGTCTCTCCAGCTTATGTACCAGCCTCTAATGCGGTATTGTGTCAAAGGCTTTCCGACAATCCAAGAAAATGCAGTCCGCCCAGGCCTCTCTTTCTTGCTTAATCTTTGTCACCTGGTCGTAGAATTCTATTAGGCCAGTCAGGCAAGATTTACCCTCCCTGAACCCATGTTGGCGATTTGTCACGAAGTCCCTTCCCTCCAGATGTGTTACCAGGTTTTTTCTCACGATCTTCTCCATCACCTTGCATGGTATACAAGTCAAGGACACTGGCCTGTAGTTCAGTGCCTCTTGCCTGTCGCCCTTTTTGTATATTGGGATCACATTCGCCGTCTTCCATATTTCTGGTAGGACTCCCGTCTCCAGTGACTTTCTATACAGTATGGAGAGTGGCAAGCAAAGTGCCTCTGCACACTCTTTCAGTATCCATGGTGAGATCCCATCTGAACCAACAGCCTTTCTAACATCCAGATCCAGCAAGTGTCTCTTGACCTCCTCTCTCATAATTTCGAACTCTTCCAAGGTCGCCTGGTTTACCTCCCTTTCTCCTAGCACAGTGACCTCACCTTGTTCTATTGTGAAGACCTCCTGGAACCTCTTGTTGAGTTCTTCACACACCTCTCTGTTATTATCTGTATACCTGTCTCTCGCTTGTTCTAAGTTTCAATACCTGTTCTTTCACTGTTGTTTTCCATCTGATGTGACTGTGGAGTAGCTTTGGTTCGGTCTTGGCTTTGTTTGCTATATCATTTTCAAAAATTTTATCTGCTTCTCTTCTCACCCTGACGTACTCATTCCTGGTTCTCTGTTTTCTTGTGTTCTGTTATTCCGGAAGTTCCTCCACGCCCTTTTGTTCAGTTTCTTCGCTTCCATACATGCCCTATTATACCATGGATTCTTCTGTTGCTTCTCGGATTTTTTTTCTTTGGGCCGGGATGAACCTGTTTACTGCCTCCTGATACTTTTGGGTAACATAGTCCATCATACCCTGTACAGTCTTATCTCTGAGGTCTGTGTCCCAAGGTATTTCACTTAGGAAACTTCTCATCTGTTCATAATTCCCCTTTCGGTATGCCAGCCTGTTGATTCCTAGTTCTCTTTTGGGGGAGATAATTCCTAGCTCTACCAGGTACTCAAAGTTCAATACACTGTGGTCACTCATTCCCAAGGGCGCTTCCATCTTAACTTCCCTTATATCCCACTCATTTAGGGTAAATATCAAATCAAGCATTGCTGGTTCATCTTCTCCGCTCATTCTTGTTGGTTCTTTGATGAGCTGGCTTAGAAAGTTTCTTGTTGCCACATCCAGCAGCTTAGCTCTCCATGTTTCTGGTCCTCCATGCAGGTCTCTGTTCTCCCAATCTTTCTTCCCATGGTTGAATTCTCCCATAATTAGTAGTCCAGATCCATTCATGCTAGCAACAGAAGCTGTTCTTTCTATTATGTTAATGGTGGCCATGTTGTTTCTATCATATTCCTGTCTAGGTCTTCTGTCAATTGGTGGTGGATTATATATGATTACGACTATAATTTTTTCCCTCCATTTGTTATGGTACCTGCTATGTAGTCACTTAAACCTTCAAAGCCCTGAATAACCATCTCCTCAAAATCCCAGCCTTTTCTTACCAACAGA